CATTTGCCACAACTCCAGAATGGGGCGCCGCGGCGACAACGCCCCCGGAAGGCTTTTGGTCGCAACCTCGATGGGTATGGTTGAGGAGGAATTCAACCGGCGAGGAAATAAAAATCCAGTATTGGGCCGATGGGCAGCTAAACAGGCAGGCTCACGAACAGATCTCCTGGTTTCTGCGCGACCGACGGTTTGAGAACCTTTTGAGCAATCAAAGTCCCGTTCTGACAAATGCTCTGAAACGAGGGGAATTGAGCACAGCCCAAATGACACCATGGGCCTTGATGGATCCCATCGTCATCGACATCCTTTATGCGTACTGCAGCTGGCTAAGAGTCTACGGGTTGCTCCGGCCGCTTGAGGTGACGAGTGGCTTTAGACACTTTCTGACAAATCTGATGACAGAGGGTGCTGCGCGAGACAGTTGGCACACAAAAGCTGGGGCTGTTGATTTTGTCGTACCTGGCGTGCCAGTTGAGCAGGTTGCTCGTTTCGGGCAGTGGCTTGCAGGTGGAGGGGTGGGACTCTATCGAAGCAAAAATTTCACTCACGTTGACCGCGGGCGGGTTCGTTCGTGGGTTACCGGTTGAAAAGTATGGAAGGCTCAGGCAATCATGATTAAAACTATCCTTGGGAAAAAGCTGGGGGAGTTAGTCAGCAGGATAGGTTCAAGACCGTCGCCTGGTGACGATCTGGTTTCAACCCAAGTGATTGACACAGGGCCAGCCGTGGAAGATACCGGTGAACTGCTAAGAAGTTGCGGCCGTATGGTTTGCAGGGTCTTGACGCAAGTCGTGAGGCGGGCAGGTTTTGACGCTTCCCTTTTTCTGATGACGGTGGAGTTTCACGATCAAAAGACCCTGTCATTTCGTGTTCTCACGGAAATGCCGACTTCATCGGCGCTCACGCATTTGCAGTGCAAGGAAATTGAACACACGGCGAGAATCGAACTGGAGATGCGTTACGAGATACAGCTCAGAACGATTTACTGGAGGATCAAGGACACAGATCCCCTAAGTTTGCCGTTATCAGGGCTGAAAAGTAAGTTGCAGAAAGATGCGACGACCGACTCATCTTTGGCAAGAAAAACACGGTCTGGTTTGAATGGATATCCAGCCCCTGTGCGCATGATGATGGACCCCGCTCAAGATGGACTTCTGGTGACCCATGATCGAGAAGGAACACCGTCAGAAATTGAAGAGTTTCACGGGCTGCTCGCGCAATCATCAACTCCGACTGCTCCATAAAAAAAGCCCCTGGTACCGAACTTTATGTTCAGGCCAGGGGCTTTTTGGTTGCTAATCAGGCTGTAACAGCCTCGCTTGTTTGTGCTGTGACTCGCATCTCACCGATACGGTGATGCTCATCTGGAAAGAGCAGGCGGAACGCGTCTTTGCCGCTGGCAACGTTCTGCTCAAGCAAATGGGCAACCAAGTTGCGGTCCAACTTGAGCTTGATCTCCTCTGCGTCCCATGGACTCACCATGGAGCAGTACAGGTCGCCGTCCAGGCTTGAGTCACTGATGTTGCTGTGCAAGCTATCTGCAGCAGCTTCACTGTCTAAACAGCCTTTTTCATCTGCCAGATCAGCTGGCACAACACAGTTTGCAACGCAGGTCACGTCAGTTACGGTAGAGCTGATGGAGCGGTAATAGTCCCCTTCATCGCCATACTCATATGACGCCGTGAGACGAATGGTCGCAGATTGCAACCATGGGCGCTCCTGAAACAATGCCAGCATACTCGCACCGACGAAGGTGGCTTCCATGATTTCGTATTGTTTCTTCAGTGCGTGGTATTCGACTTCCAGGCGTTGAGCTTCGTTGTTACGTGTGGCCTTGCCCTCAACGACGGTCCACTCAGCTGCAGCTTGTGCGCTTTCGGTTTGTGTGTTTGCTTTCATGCTTTCCTTTTACGGAGGTGATTGCCTTCTGTGAAGACAATCGCGTTGTGATTGATGTAATTGAGCATGGGAAACCACCATGGCTGCTTCTCGCAGACCTGGTGAGCATCCCCTCGCCCATCGTTGTCGCTGACGTGCACCTCAATGCAACGCTCGCAATTCAACATTTCCTTGACCAGGTTGTCCTCGCGGCGTCCGCTCTTGTGGGCAACGATGTTCAAGTGGCTCAAATCCAGGGCGTATGGCACCCCGGATTCAAAAACTTGCTGATACTCATCCCATGACGAGACCAGCAATGTGTTGCCAGCCGTGGGGTATTG